ACTGGACCGAATCTCTAAGTGCATTACTAGTGAGCTGGATTTCTGTCCTGACCTTGAGGCTCAAGTCAAGTTGGTTTGGAATTATTCATAGGTTTACTGAACCAAAAAGGAAAACTGCTGGCGGCTCACACTGCTACTCAGGAGGCTGAGATCTGAAGATTGTGTTTCAAAGGCAGCCCCAGCAAGAAACTCTGTGACACACTTATCTCAAATTAACCACTGAAATTCTGGAAGTGTGTGCGCGCATGCGCGCACACACACACACACACACACACACACACACACACACACACACACACCACAAATAAAATAAAGAGGAAAAATAAAAATAAGCTGTGTGCTGAATCTTGGTCATCATCCCATGGCACTATTGGTAGGTGGTGAACCGTTTAAAAGTGTGGGCCTAGTAAAAGAGAGGTCATCGAAGTGTGTTCTTGAAAGGGATATTGAAACCCCAACTCCTTCCTCTCTGGGTGTTTACTTCCCAGATAGAGAACAGGCCTGTGTCACAACACATTTCTGTTATGATATACCATATACCACAGATCCAAGGCAATAAGACTAAGCAAGACTTCTGCAACTGTGAACTAAAATATAAACCTTTCTTCCTTATAAGACAATTATGTCCAATATTTTGTCATAGTGACAGAAAGTTTACTAACATATCCTGAAATAAAGAAGAAGCCAGAGGCAGATTCTAATGTTAAGCTGAAAGGCTGTAGGATTGGAGAGGGAAGAGGTGTAAATAGTTGAAGGGCCCATCCAGTTGGATTCCTGATCTCACAGAGGGGAGGTGAATAGTGACAAATTGTTCAAGTAATTAATGCTTCTGTTAGCAATGGTAGAACTTTGGGATTCTGAGGTTGCTCTTAAAAGGGGCTGCAGCAGGCAGAGTGGGGTGGTATCCTCTTTGGGGTCCTCAAACTCTATTGTCAAGGCTACTCTGCCACCAACACTTTCCACTTTGTCCTTTGGAGGAAATCAACCTCCTGCCTTACCGGCCCCTGCCCGCCCCTCCCTCCCTGGAAGTACCCAAATCCCCACAGGTGAGGGCACTATAATGAACCTTCATTTATCAACCCCAAAAGAAAAAGAGTATGCATTTGTCTATGATTGTTAATTCATGAATAAGTTAGACAGTATTTTGTGAACATTTTTTTCTTTTTATGATTCCTCCAAACAATACAGTAGCATAACTATTTACATGGGAAATACATTTGTATTAGGTTTATAAATAATGTAGAGAAAATTTCAAGTTTAAGGATTTGTGCCTAGATTCTGTGCAAACACTATGCCATTTTACATAAGGGCTTGAACATCCATGGAGTTTGGTGTCTAAGGAATTCCTGGAACCAGTCCTGCATGAATACCAAGGGACAACTGTGCAATACCTTCCTAGGATTGCTGTAACTTATTACCATGGCATGAGTTCTTAAAGCAGCAGAAATATATTCTTGTATACTTCTGACTATCAGCAGTCCAAATACAAGGTGTCAGCAAAGCCCCTCCCCTCTCTCTGAAGGCTGGAAACTTCAAAGCTACGGGTGGCCAGAGGAAGAATTGAGAGTAGTTGAGCTCATAGTTCTCATCCAGCAATAATTGTTTCTCCTCACCTCATGAGCCCTAGCCCTAGGGATTGGGCAGACTTGTGAGGGGTTGACTGGAGATGGGAGAAATGGGACAGAGTCCCTAAGATGTATCTTCTTAAAGATCATGTTTTAAATGGAGACAGAGACAGACAGACAGAGACAGAGAGAGGAAAGAGAAAGAAAGGAAGTCGAATTTTTCTTATTTGCTTAAAAAACAGATTGGCTTTTATGAATTTGTTTGCATGAATTATATACTAGAAAGAGTGGGCATTGAACAAATGCTGCTACTTGTGAGAGTATACAGCAGTGATAACAGTAATGTACTCAGTTTTCAATCTAGGCAGCTCTGCTTGTCTGGTGTATGACCTAGATCCTTTGCCGTCGGGTCCTCCTACCTCTTGCTGGGTGGATGCACAGAGTGATCAACGGTCCTTTTCCCCCACTTTCTGAGCTGCTGACTCTGGTGCTGACTGCTGACCTCTGATAGGCACCCAGCTTGATTGTTTGTTTTGCCAGCCCTCAAGAATGCCTCTTGGCTACTGGGCTATTTCCTGTAGCTCTCACCCTTCCTTACTTTCTTAATTTCAGTGTCATGTCATCCCTTGGGGTCTTGTGGCCAGGCCTGCCCCTGGGAAAGAGTTGACCTCAGCTCTCTTCTTTTGTCCTTTGTGTTCTTCCCTCCTTCCATGTAACTGAGACATCTGGGACTGGACCAACTCCCAAATCTCTTCCTGTTCTAACAGTTCTGTGGGCTGTTGAAGGTGACCATGGTGACATCTGGGTAGGGTCCCTCCCCAAAGCCACCAAGGGAGACATGTGGCTACCACATGCAATGTCTGTACAGTTTTCCTCCCACAAGAGTTGGGATGGCTTTCTGGACAAAGTTAAAACGTCAAATGAACCACTCAGGGAGCCATGGGGAAAAGGGCAGGACAGAAAGCCCTTGAGATGCCAAGACCAACCTGATTCCTGTGGCACACCCATTAGATTCAGGGTGGTTGGCAAAGTGGATTTTTCATCCCGTTCCCAGGCTTATAAGCAGCTCATTGTTCTCAGAAAGAAAAAAAGAAAGAAAAGAAAAGCAAGCTCTTCTTGGGAGCACTTGGCCTTTAGGGGCAATAACTTGTGGTAGCTGGTTCTAGCAGCCTTCCTCTGAAAAGGATGGGGAAAGACAATCTGGGCAAAGTGTTTGTGCTCTGCTGCTGCCTCCAACAAATCACAACAAATTTAGCAACTGATCCTGGGCCTGAATTCAGCTTGGGTGCTGTCCCTGAGCTGTTTCAGCTTGAGGCTAGTGCTCTATCATTTGAGCCACAGCTCTGCTTCCAGCATTTTTGGGGAGGGTGATAAATTGGCGATAAGAATCTCATAGACTTTCCTGCCTGGGCTGGCTTTGAATAGTGATTCTCAGATCTCAGCCTTCTGAGTAGTTAGGAGTTTCAGCATGTGTCACAGGCACTCAACAACAAGTATCACATAGTTCTGCAGGCCAGACAAAAGTCTCACATGGCTATAGGGTTGTGTTCCTTTTTGGGGCAGATTCAATTCCTTGTCAGCTCATAGAATTTAGTTCCATGAGCCTGTAGGACTGAAGTCTCCTTTTCCTTGTTGGCTGTCTGCTGCTGGCTCCTTAGCTCCTACCTCACCCCCTACCCCCTTACTGTGGCTTGAACTCAGGGTCTAGGCACTATCCTTGAGCTTTTTTTTTTTTTTTTTTGTCGGTCATGGGTCTTGAACTCTGGGCCTGAGCGCTGTCCCTCAGCTCTTCAGCTGAAAGCTAGTACTCTACCACTTGAGCCACAGCCCCACTTCTGACCTTTTCTGCTTATGTGGTGCTGAGGAATTGAATCCAGGGCCACATGCATACAAAGCAAGCATTGAGCAACCATTGAGCCACCTTCCCAGCCCTCCCTGAGCTTCTTTAGCTCAAGGCTAGCACTCTACCACTTGAGCCACAGCATCACTTCTGGCCTTTTCTGTTTATGTGGTGCTGAGGAATCAAACACAGTCTTCATGCATGCTAGGCAAGCACTCTACCACTAAGCTACATTACCAGCCCCTTAGCTCCTTCTCAGAGCTTCTGCAGTCTTCATTCATCCTTGGAACTACAAATAATGTCCCTGTTCAAGATGCCACCCTGCATCTGTTCTTCTGGTGTTTATTTCTCTCCAGCAACAGGAAAAGGTTCTCTACTAATAGAACCAGTGTGATTAGATGAAGCCCACCCAAATAACCCAGGATAATCTCTCCATGTCAAAGTTCTTAACCTAGTCACATTTGCATTGTCCTTTTTGTAGACTGGAATTCACATTAGGTTGTGCATTCATAGGTTCTGGGGATTTGAAACTGGATGTATTAAGGGGGATCACTATTCACCTTCCAGAGTTAGGTTCAGCAATGGGATTTGTTGGCCTTATGCTAGATATCAGTCTGAGGCAGTAAACCTTTACCAGGTGACTCACATCACCTGTGCCAGTGGGGACACAGAGTCTTGTGAATGGCAGTAAGTCAATGCTAACAGGGCATTGTGCAAAACAAGGCTTGAATGTGTCTGTCACAGGCGCTTTGTGGTCAAGCCATCAGATGTATTGCATAATCCCTTCTTTGCATGTCTTTGTGCGAGGAGGGTATGGAGGCCAGCTCATAAAGTGATTTTTACAAGATCTGACATAAATGGAATCCATTTAGCCTGCTTTTCCTGTTCCAGCTTTTCCAGGCATAGTAGGGACCCTTCTGGAACTTCATGAGCTGACAACTCCCTTTTTCCCTTTCCACCAGACTTAGTCTTTTTTAGTACCTGACCTACAGGCTGAACCCATCAAGGCAGGGTTTTCCCAGCCATGAACATCTCCTCTGAATTCACACTTGCTCTTCCATCAGCCTGATTTTCCTGTGATACCAGCCCTTTCCAACTCCCCAAGGGCCTGGCAATTCCTTCTAGCTCCTCTCTATACAGTGAATTTAAGGACAACACTTGAGAGCTGGGAGATATGCAGACTATGGGGCCTCAGCCTAGATCTACCACAGCCAAGTCTGCTTGGGATTCATAGCACTTTAAAGTTTGAACAGCCCTAAGTGGAGACTGCTAGGGCAGCTCCTCTTCTGTGAAGCCCATCCTGACTGCATCTCGTTCCGACTACATAGAGTCCTCTTCCTCTTCCCCTCTTGCCCTAAAGGACTTCTTTCAGAAAAAGTAGAGCTATGGCTCAGACCTCTAATCCTAGTTACTGAGGAGACTGAGATCTGAGGATCAAGGTTTGAAGTCTACGAGTCCCTTATCTTCAATTAACTACAAAAAAGCCAGAAGTGAAGCTGTGGCACAAGTGGTAGAGTACCTGCCTTGAGTGGAAAAGCTAAGGGACAATGACAAGCCCTGAGATCATGCTCCAGTACTGAAACAAAAAATGAAAGCTGGGGCGGGCGCCGCTGCTTCCTGCCGGCGGCGGCGCGGGCGCCGTGGTGAGAAACGTGCTGTACCCCCTGTACCAGCTGGGCGGACCCCAGCTCCACGTGTTCCGAACCAACTTCTTCATCCAGCTGGTCCGGCCCGGTACTGCCCAGCCCGAGGACACGGTGCAGTTCCGGATCCCCATGGAGATGACCAGGACGGACCTCAAGAATTACCTAGAGCGCATTTACAGCGTGCCCGTGGCTGCCGTTCGGACACGGGTGCAGCACGGCTCCAACAGGCAGAGGGACTACAGGAACATGAGGATCAAGAAGCCCGATTATAAGGTGGCCTACGTGCAGCTGGCCCTCGGACAGACATTCACATTCCTGGATCTGTTTCCCGAGAAAGAGCAGGACCTGGTGGCAGAGGAAGGGCTCCAGGAGGCTGTGTCCCAGAAGCGGAGCAGTGACCCGCGGCGTGGCGGTGTCCCCTCCTGGTTCGGCTTGTGACCCCGCGGGGCTGGGCACAGGGCTTCAATAAAGTTCTGCTGTGTGACAAAAAAAAAAAAAAAGCTGGGCACTGGTGGCTCATGCCTATAAATCCTAGCTATTCAGGAGACTGAGATCTCAAAGCCAGCCTGGACAAAAAGGTCCCCATGAGACTCTTATCTTTAATTAACCACCCCAAAGTGTCTATAATTTTAGCTACTCAGGAGGCAGAGAGCAGAGGATTGCAGTTCAAAGCCAGCCCAGGCAGGAAAGTTCATGAGACTTATCCCTAATTAACCACCAGAGAACCAGAAGTGATGCTGTGGCTCAGTTATAGAGTGCCAGCATTGAGCAAAAAGGCTCAGGGACAGCACCCAGACCTGAGTTCAAGCCTCATGACTGATTAAACTGCACTAAATTCCACAGACATGGAAAGAAACAAAAATGAGGAAAAAAAACACGGTTTGGTTCTAAGAAAAAAAAACATTTAAAGCATAAATAACTTATTTAATAGCTCAATTTAATAAAGAAGAGGGAATCTTACAAATATATTGACAAAAGGATTTGCAATCTTGAGGTTTGACCATAAAATAGAGACATTAACAAAGATAACATGAGGTAAAATAAAAAAAGGGAAATAAAAAAAATTTAAAAAAGGGAAAGAAAGATGAAGACAGAAAGAGAGAAGGAATGAAAGAAAGAATGTAAGAGAAAGGAAAGCAGGAAGAATGACATCTGGATGTTAAACAGGATTTTCTTCACTATCTGCGAAATTCAGTAGAGGTTTATAAGGGAGAGAACCAGGGCAGGCACTCTGATGAGATGCTATGACCCCGTGCATGACAAGCTCAGAATGTGTAGAACTTTCTTCATCTACCCTTCACCCACTCCTAGCTTGTGAGTGAACAAGCAATAGATTTCCTTGGAGAGAACTGACAGAGCTGTGCGCTCCCATTTTCCCTATTGCTCTTCTACAGATGTGGAAAAAGCTTTGGAGGAGCTTACCCTGGGCCTTTAAAGTGTTCAGGGGAACATGTGCACTGGGCCAAGGAGGACCTACCCCAGAGGCCAGCAGGACAAAGGTGTGTGGTTCCTAGGAACCAGCTGTGGGTAACAAGACAGGGAGAATGCTTGGAGTCTTCCCAAAAGGGACACTCTGCTCACTCCTATAATCGTAGCAACTCAGAAGGCTGAGATCTGAGGATCACAGTTCAAATCCAGCCTGAACAGAAAAATCTGTGAGACTCTTCTTTCCAATTAACCACCAAAAAACTGGAAGAGGAGGTCTGGCAAAATGGTAGAGTGCCAGCAGCCTTAAGCAAAAAAGAAAAAAAGTGAGAGCTTTATGTTTTTTAAAGTTGGTTAATGTCCTTCCAGTGGCCTGCTTTATGTTTATGCTTGTTATCTCTGTTTATTTTACCTCGTGTTATCTTTGTTAGTGTCTCTATTTTATGGCCAAACCTCAGGATTGCAAATCCTTTTGTCAATATATTTGTAAGATCCCCTCTTCTTCATTAAATTGAGCTATTAAATAAGTTATTTATGCTTTAAATGTGTTTTTTTTTCCCTTAGAACCAAACCGTGTTTTTTTTCCTCATTTTTTTTTCTTTCCATGTCTGTGGAATTTAGTGCACAGTTTAATCAGAAACTGCCAGATTTTATAAGAATGGGTAGATGAGATACTATAAGGGTCATCTGTGCAGTTGAAACAATAAATCTAGGAGAAACATCCTATTAGCAGTGGACTCTGCTTTCTTGCAGAGAAAAATAAATAAGTTGTACTTAGGCAATAGGCACTAACTCCCAAATCTTGGTTTGAGTTGATATATATTTTCTAGAAAGCAGTTTGTCAATATGTGTTACAAGCCTTACATGTATTTGTATCTCCCACACATTCTTACACTTTGGTCTAATCATTTGATTCTGAAGTATTAAACTTAAAAATAAAATAAGTATATGCAAAAATGTTAATTATAATACCCTAAATTTCTTTTGTGTGTGGGGGGGTGGGGAATAAACTGCTTCAACAATAAATTATTGATTGTTTAATCAAGAATGTCAACTTGAAGCCAGTGCTGGTGGCTCACGCCTGTAATCCTAGCTACTGAGGAGGCTGAGATCTAAGGATCGCAGTTCAAAGCCAGGCTGGGCAGGCAAGTCCATAAGACTCTTTTTTTTTTTTTGGTCGATCGTGGGGCTTGAACTCTGAGCCTGGGCGCTGTCCCTCAGCTCTTCAGCTTAAGGCGAGCCCTGTACCACTTGAGCTACAGCGCCACTTCTGGTTTTCTTGTGGTTTATTGGAGATAGGAATCTCAGTCTTTCCTGCCCGGGCTGGCTTTGAACCGCGATTCTCAGATCTCAGCCTCCTGAGTAGCTAGGATTACAGGCGTGAGCCACCAGCGCCTGGCTTCATGAGACTCTTATCTCCAATTAATCACCAGAAGGCCAGAAATGGCACTGTGGCTCAAGTGGTAGAGTGCTTGCCTTGAGCTGAAGATCTGAGGGACAGCGCCCAGGCTGAGTTCAAGCCCTATGACTGACCAAAAAAATAAAATAAGTGTCAACTTGATGGGTAATATTACCTTTGAAGTTTATAGAAAGTTTGTTATTAAGGCACAAAATGTTTCTTTCTTACATAATGTTAAGCAAAACAAAGCAATATAATCTCAGTTAGACTAAAATCCCCATATTCAGAAAAACCTGGACTATGTATTATTTTTAAATATACATTTTAGAGCTGGGAACGAACTCAGTGGTAGAATGCTTGCCTAGCTTGCTCAGGAATGTTGGTTCCATTTCCAGTATCATACACATACATACACACACACACACACACATACACACACAATAATGTATACTTTATCACAAGCCTCTCCCATGTCAACAAGACAGAGGTACTGTATCATTTATAAGAATTGCATGCTATTTCATTGCATACATAAAAAAATTTAATTGCTTTCCTATTATAAGATATTCAAATAGCTTCCAGACTTCTTGTGTTTTAAGTGCTGTAATGAACGATTTTACACATTAATCTTTAGCCAGTTCTCCAGTATTTCCTCAGGATAAATTCCTAGAAGTGGACTTGCTAGGTCAAAAGCATTTCAGACCTTTTGAAATTTGTTGCTAAATGACCTCCCCAAGAGACTATGAATTTATACTGTCACCAGTAGTGTGTGAGTGGAAGCTCTTCCTCTGGTAGCTTTCCCAGCACCAACTTACCCATTTGCTTTAAAATTTAAAAAATAACTTAAGAAAATTTGCCAGCAGCAGGATTGAAACTCCTTCAAGTTTTTTTTTAACATGGTCCTAGCTTGCTACAATAATTTCTTGGTAGAGGCTGACATTTATTGCAGTTCTCATGGCCAATGTTACATGAGTTAATTCTTGTACTCCTCCAGATCATTCTAAGGTAGGTTCCATGACCAATGATAGGTAACCATTTCACATGTGAGGAAACTGAGGCACAGAAATGATTCATAAGCTGCTGCTATGGTTGGAGAGAACCCAAGGGCTCGTGGGCCAGGAGCTTGGTCCTGCATTTGGTCTAGTGGGAGGTCACTGGGTTATTGGCAGTGTACCTCAGAAGAAATAGGGAAAATTAATGTAGTTGTTACAGGAACCCCATATTTCTCTGGCTTTCATGTCCTGTGTGGACTTTCCTCTCACATGTGCTCCTACACTATGATATCTATTAGGAAGTCCTTACCAAGCCTAGCCAAGCTGATGACACTATACCCTTGAATCCCTGGAGCTGTGAGCAAAGTATTTTATTGTGGTAACAATAACAACAACATCAACAACAACAACAACCCAGACTAAAACGGCAAGGTAACACAAACCAAAGTCAAGATAGAGGAGATAAGATTCTCAACCCAGATCGCCACTTACACTGTACAGTTGCTCTGCTGAGAGTCTGCTAAGTTATTAGTAAGCACTCAGTGGGACCTTCCACTTCAAGATTCATACGATGCTGCAGATTCATCTTGTCCCTGTGTACAGCAGCTGAGTCTCAGATTAGGTAGATGTCCTGAAAAGAATTTAGAAGGTGTCAAGTGACTGTATCCTTAGGTTAGGGTGAGACAGAACACCTAAGCAGGGCCTGCCCTGTCACTCAGGGCTGAGAAGCTATCAGAAAGCAGTCTAGGGCAGATGGCTGTATAGTGTGAGGTGCTCATCCCACTAGGGCCAGGCCATTAATGATTCCTGGTTTGCCTATGACTGTCCTGACTTAACACCAGCAGCCTGGCACCCTGGGAAACTTCTTAGGCCTGAGAAAACTGGGACAGCTGGGCTCCATATGCTTGGGGAAGGCTCTATTGTGTCCTTCTCACTCCAGTACAAGAGGCTTCAAAGGTTTTTGCCCAGAAGCTCTGGACCCCAGACCGCACTAACTCCTGTACATCAGACACCCCAGGGACTAAATGCTGGCCACGCTACAACGTCCTCTTTCCCCCACCCTTCTCCCTCTGGGCCTAACCTCAGAGAGTCACGAACTGGATTTTGGACTGAGTTTGAGGGCTGGGGTGGGGCCAGGAGAGAGAAGGAACTAACAATGAATGTTAATAGTCTCCACTTACCCACCCCGCTGGCCCCACATAAAGCTTCCAGGCCTGAAGCAGGCCTCTACTTGTACAAGTTGGGAAGCTTCACATTTAGCAACATTTACTTTTACATACATTGGACTAGACATTTTGGTCACAGAAGTGAAACTTGAAATAGCCCAGAGCATTGTGGGAGATGTCAAGAGTGTCCCAAGGGGCTGGGGAGGAAGGATGACAGAGGGCATTGGGAAGACTCAGGCTGCTTAGGATTGCATGCCGCTGGGGGTGCAGCTTCTCTGTAATGAGTTGCATGAGTAGCTACCCCATCCAGGGTCTCAGCTGTGGTCCCTAGGGTGGGACCACAGCTGCTGCTGCTTCTCTTGCTTAAGGAGCAGGGGTTGGAGTTACAAAGTGAGGGTTCCTTGGTGACCTTTGTCCATCAGGCTCTGGCAAGATCATCCTGCCCTCCCCAATTCT